AAAAAAGGCAGTGTACAACCTTCCTTTTTTAACAAAAATCGACTGCACCAAAATTTCTCGGGAAAACACTTTTTCTTATTAATTTTGGTGCGTAGAATCCAAAACAATTCGTACTTTTTCGGTCAGACTTCTCAATCAAAAGTTATAGACTAGAAACCAATTTCGAAAGAAAATTCAAAGGGCTGTAACTTTTGATCTAGTAGCCCATTCTTGGAACTGTTTGAAATTATGGATTCTACAGGCCACATTCGATGCTTTTTGATAGGGCGCTTTGTTTTGAAGATACGGGGCGAAAAAGAATTTCGACAATAACAATTTATTACCAAAAAAAAAACACTGTTCAAAATGACTACCCCCCGCTCGGATGCCAGAATCCATCTCTCCTCATCGACTCTCGAACTCTTTCAATCACCAGGATCGTTTCTGATTGCGTTACACCCAGCAATTATCCGATTTCTCAAAATAAATCAAAGCGCCCTATCAAAAATCATCGAAGGACAAAATATCCTTAGAATAGTCCAAGGAATAGTCCTTTACATTTTTGACGCATGTTTAATAAACACCATGTATACCTGACCAGGACATTCTATTGGTCTCTTGGCGTTTAGAGGTCCCTTCAAGAGCTTCTTTGGCGCCTTCTAAATAAGCTAAGCTAGAAGAGACTAGAACTAACTCACTGAAATGGATGTGGAAAACTATGCAAAGCGCATAAAAGCTTTGGGAAAACTAGAACGTCCCTGAAGAAGGCCTAAAAGATTCGCCACAGCTAACAATAGACATTTTAAATAAACACTAAACCTGTGTAAAAGAAGCTGTAGAATTATTTTAATGATTTTTTAATTTACAAAAAGGGGTCCTTTTTAATTACTATAGCCATTAACTAGGTACTCAAGGCTGCCGGTACTAAGATCTATTAAATAGATATCTAGCTATTCAAGGATATACTGCAACATTTTAAAAAGGAAGGGGAAGGGACCACAGAATTTTTTCAAGTGTTCAAAATTTCCCAAAGTTTGCATTTCTTAGAAACCTCCTCTCCCCCCACTGCAAATAGGCCTTTTTGATTATTGCCTAGTTAATTTAATTCGAAATTTGTAAGGTCAATGTTAACAATACCAATGAAAATAGCACACAATTTTTTCTTACTAGGTGATTTATGATTTGCAAGATAATTGACATTGACCTCCACTTATTGTGCAGAACGTTAGACAATACAAGTTCTAGTGTAGACAGGTAAAAGATACGTTTTGCGTACAAGGTGAGCAACCCAAAAACTCTTATATGGATCTCTGTCCTAATTACGCGTATATACCTCTTAGTTATGACGGTGGAAAATATACGGTAATTCTGATTTAATTGTCGTGGTTGTAAGCTTTAAGCGAGGGAAACGGTTTTCATTGTCATTTGCGAGAGATTTTCTTACGCAGCAACCGTGGTTTTTCGATCGGCCAAAATGTGGATGGGTTTTTGGTACCTATTTGTATGCGCTGTTGTATTAATTTTGATAAAGCATCATTGGTCTCGGCGCAAAATTTATCAACTGACATGTTCGCTGCATGGCCCTCCTGCGCTACCAATTTTTGGAAATGCATTGATGTTTTGGTGTAAGGAGGAAGGTAAGCGAGATTTTTATACCTGATCTAATTTTCATCGCTCTATTTTAATTCCTCAAAGGCATGCATCATTCTCCAAAACCAAATTTATTTGTTCACTTGTTTAAATCTTGGATTAATTCACCACGCCATATTAATACCTTTTAATTTCTCTTAGATATTTTTGAACGACTTGTTAAAGTGGTTAATAACTATCCTAGTCCAATGCGAATTTGGCTCGGTCCCAAGTTAGTTGTGGCAGTAAAAACAGCGCACCAAATTGAGGTAAAATCATGAACAATTTACACGCCTTAAATCCTACCAATTTCAGAAGATATTTACATCTTCCTCAGCATCCAGCAAAGATGATTTATACCGATTTCTAAAGGTCTTTAACGGAGACAGTCTATTCACATCTACGGGTAAGTATCGAGTGACCATATAAGCGGTTCTGAAGCTAAGAAGGCTACAGTTTTCCGGTACAATTTTTGTTAATAAATGTGACCCAGTGAAAATCAAACGAGAGCAGCTGGGTTTTATTTAAATTGTTGAATTTTTTCTGCATAAACAAGCAAAGTACAATTTTTTAAGCTGTAGAAAATGTCAAGAATTTTTGTCATGATAGTGTAAAGAATTTAACTGGTTGATTGCCGTGAACTAAATATGTGTTTCTTTGTTCTTTAATTTTAATTTAATTTTAATGGGGATATAGTATTACATTACTGAACTCATCATGAGATAAATCCGTACTGTAGAATTGGCTGAACGTGCAGGTTTTGAACGGAGTGTGATCTTTAACAGCCGTTTAGGAATGGTAGTAAAAAAGACATTAACCAATGAAAAATTTAAACGTCGCCATTTTTAGGAATAATGCGCCATGGCGTTCAATTTCGCTCAGTAATTAAGAGAAGAAACATTATAAGGCCAAAAATTAAACCGTTTTGACTGTTAATCGCATTTTCTAAAAATTTATGACAGTTCTAGCCTTGTAAAGAAAGTCAGTGGAAGTGTGAGAACTATTACATTTGAATATCTAAATAAAAGTTTCACCTTTGGTGTTAAAGCGAGTACATGTTATGTTAAATTAAAGAAGAAATTCGAGTTTTTTAGTTGCGTTCAGTTACGGTGAAAAAACTTGAACCGAAGGTTGTATTATGAGAATATGACGCAGAATAGAGATTATTTCGTCTACAACGCCTAAAAATACAAGCACCGTCTTTGTGAAGGAACATTTTCACATAATTTAACTATAAAATTTTATGAACTACGTTTTTTCTTTTTGTAAAAGATCAATAGGATTATCTGAGAAATTTATGACTGTATTCATTAAATTCGGCGCTAATTAAAAAGTTGCAATCATTAAAAGAAATTTCCTGGTCAGTAAGAACGAAAACGCCTCCTAACATTCCGTTATCATCAAAATTTTACCCGGAGTCTACAATTTTTAGGAGTGTTTAAGACAGGGAATTTNGATATAAATGATCGAGCTGCTCATCTTTACAAATAGAATAAGTGAAGTTAGTAAATAAACATTTTCCTATAAAACGAGTATCTAATGATAACCGCAGTATAACTGGTTCACTAAAGGAACTTAAACAAATGAGATCACGGTTATCGATCCTTTAAATTAAGAGCAGATTCTACTGGTGGGAATCAACATGCTGAGGTGTATAGGAAGTATAGGAACGAGTATCGAAATTAATCGTGAACACGAAAAAAGAGGCTTTTAACAGTTTTATTTTTACTTCCAAGAATAAATGTAAGGCTGGATGGAAGGTAGTACATCAGGAAGCTAATAAGAATAAAAATACTCTAAATATTCCTTTGACACATAATGAATTAAATATACATTTTGTGTCCATTGGCAATCAAATCGCTCAATCGCTGCTAGATTCCACTGGCAATATCAACACTTATTTGAAAAACACACTGTCTCCTGAAACTTCCTTCTTTCTAGCACCCGTCACATATAACGAAGTGATCGATACAGTTAAAAAGCTATCTCAATCAAGCAGCTGTGATTACTACGACCTAAACAGTAAAATTCTAAAAAATTGTATCGATATAATATGTAAATATTTCACCGACTTAGTTAATGACTGCTTTCTTGAAGGTACATTTCCGCTGTGCTTTAAAACAAGTAGGGTTGTTCCTCTGTTTAAAAAAGGTGACAAAAATTGCTTAGATAACTATCGCCCGATTTCTATTGTGTCTGTTCTCGGAAAAGTAATAGAAATATTGATAAAAAATAGACTTATCGATTTTCTTACTTCAACACGAATCCTTAGGGATTGTCAATACGGATTTCGAGCTAACCACTCAACAACTAAAGCAGTTTCTCAACTTATTGATCTCATTGTTGATGCTCTGGAAGATCGTTGTAACGCTACTGCCCTTCTGTGTGATCTGACAAAAGCTTTTGACTGCGTGGTACCCTCAATACTACTGCAGAAGTTGCATTATTACGGAATACGTGGAAAACCACTAGATCTTTTTCAGTCTTATTTAACCGACCGCATGCAGTGCGTTTCTTTTAATAACAAAAATTCCGATCTAGAAGCGGTAACTCTTGGCGTCCCACAAGGCTCCGTATTGGGTCCAATTTTATTTCTCTATGTCAATGATTTACCAAAATCAATTAGTGCAGGTAAATGTGTGCAATTTGCAGATGATACCACTGTGTTTTGTAAGGCCAAAGATACGCTTACACAAAATGAATGTATCGCCATTGCTGATAGACAAATAAACGACTGGCTTCAATGCAATAAATTAAAACATAACGTCAGCAAAACTCAAAAAATTAATTTTACCGCCACCAGATCTATTTGTACTAGAAACTCGGTCAAATTGCTAGGTATTACATTAGACAATGAACTCAATTGGGAGACTCACGTGGACAGATTATGCACGACATTATCTTCCAACATTTATTTGTTATTAAAATTACGACAATCTGTAAATGTTCATGTACCTACTCATATCAAGCTACTACGCTTTCATTCACTCCAGAATTAGCTACGGGATAACTGTATGGGGCAGATCTCCTCATTCTGAAAGAGTCTTTAGAATTCAAAAAAAAAGCTGTGCGGATTATTGCCAGTATTGGAAATAGAGATCATTGCAGAGATGTGTTTAAACATTTTAAAATAATGCCATTACCATGCATATATATTTATAACACATTAGTTGATATCCATAAATTAACAATCTCTAAAGGAGAAGTATCAGATAGGAGCCATCCACAATTACAACACTCGCCATTGTCAATTGTTATTGCCCCCAAAATTTAAGCTATGTGTGTCCGACAGAAACTCACTGAATGTAAAACTCTACAACAAATTGGATAGTCAATTAAAACTAATGCCATTGCCTAAATTTAAAATTAATGTTAAAAAACTCTTGTTGCAAAATTGTTTTTACAGTATCGCAGAATATTTGAATACCTACTCCTTAATGCACGCGAATCTAGTCTTGTAGTTCCTAACATACTGTGATATTTTTAATGTGTGAAATATTTATATATACCTATACTCCTTTATATCTCATATACCATTTTGACGTGACAAACAATGTAAATTGAATAGGTCCAATAAACTATATTATTATTATTATTATTATTATTATTATTATCAATTTTCATTTTAAACTCATCTCATATTTCAATTCCATTATTTTTATTGGATATAGGGACCTCCTCCATGTATTAATTTTATTTATGGAGGTAATTCGTCAAATTTTTAACCCAAATGATTGAAGGAAATAGTAAACGACCAGATCTAACGTAAAGTGTTAATTACCACACCTGCACTAGCCCATGCACTCCGTACAAATCCAAAAAGACTGTCTTTTAATATTATTTTTGTTCATCGCTGCCCCGAACTTCCTATGATCAAAAAGAAATTATAAATCCGTCGTCTTTTTTTAGTTGACCACGGATCGTCTTGAACGTTGGCCTGCAAATCCCTTGAACAGGCTCACCACGTGCGTAAATCAGTACTATATTTTACTTTCTTCCACTGCATTCTTGAAACAAGTTAGCTGTAGGTACATGTTCAATAATTCACTCAAACTTACCAAAACATGCACCATAAACAATTTTGGACACGATTTCTGGTGTATTCAGCAACTCACTTGTATTTAAGTAGGTAGTTAACTAAGAAGATGCAATTATTTCTGTGCGAATCGTAGTAAATAAATTAAACATTGTAAGGTCAATGTTAACAATACCAATGAAAATAGCACACAATTTTTTCTTACTAGGTGATTTATGATTTGCAAGATAATTGACATTGACCTCCACTTATTGTGCAGAACGTTAGACAATACAAGTTCTAGTGTAGACAGGTAAAGATACGTTTTGCGTACAAGGTGAGCAACCCAAAAACTCTTATATGGATCTCTGTCCTAATTACGCGTATATACCTCTTAGTTATGACGGTGGAAAATATACGGTAATTCTGATTTAATTGTCGTGGTTGTAAGCTTTAAGCGAGGGAAACGGTTTTCATTGTCATTTGCGAGAGATTTTCTTACGCAGCAACCGTGGTTTTTCGATCGGCCAAAATGTGGATGGGTTTTTGGTACCTATTTGTATGCGCTGTTGTATTAATTTTGATAAAGCATCATTGGTCTCGGCGCAAAATTTATCAACTGACATGTTCGCTGCATGGCCCTCCTGCGCTACCAATTTTTGGAAATGCATTGATGTTTTGGTGTAAGGAGGAAGGTAAGCGAGATTTTTATACCTGATCTAATTTTCATCGCTCTATTTTAATTCCTCAAAGGCATGCATCATTCTCCAAAACCAAATTTATTTGTTCACTTGTTTAAATCTTGGATTAATTCACCACGCCATATTAATACCTTTTAATTTCTCTTAGATATTTTTGAACGACTTGTTAAAGTGGTTAATAACTATCCTAGTCCAATGCGAATTTGGCTCGGTCCCAAGTTAGTTGTGGCAGTAAAAACAGCGCACCAAATTGAGGTAAAATCATGAACAATTTACACGCCTTAAATCCTACCAATTTCAGAAGATATTTACATCTTCCTCAGCATCCAGCAAAGATGATTTATACCGATTTCTAAAGGTCTTTAACGGAGACAGTCTATTCACATCTACGGGTAAGTATCGAGTGACCATATAAGCGGTTCTGAAGCTAAGAAGGCTACAGTTTTCCGGTACAATTTTTGTTAATAAATGTGACCCAGTGAAAATCAAACGAGAGCAGCTGGGTTTTATTTAAATTGTTGAATTTTTTCTGCATAAACAAGCAAAGTACAATTTTTTAAGCTGTAGAAAATGTCAAGAATTTTTGTCATGATAGTGTAAAGAATTTAACTGGTTGATTGCCGTGAACTAAATATGTGTTTCTTTGTTCTTTAATTTTAATTTAATTTTAATGGGGATATAGTATTACATTACTGAACTCATCATGAGATAAATCCGTACTGTAGAATTGGCTGAACGTGCAGGTTTTGAACGGAGTGTGATCTTTAACAGCCGTTTAGGAATGGTAGTAAAAAAGACATTAACCAATGAAAAATTTAAACGTCGCCATTTTTAGGAATAATGCGCCATGGCGTTCAATTTCGCTCAGTAATTAAGAGAAGAAACATTATAAGGCCAAAAATTAAACCGTTTTGACTGTTAATCGCATTTTCTAAAAATTTATGACAGTTCTAGCCTTGTAAAGAAAGTCAGTGGAAGTGTGAGAACTATTACATTTGAATATCTAAATAAAAGTTTCACCTTTGGTGTTAAAGCGAGTACATGTTATGTTAAATTAAAGAAGAAATTCGAGTTTTTTAGTTGCGTTCAGTTACGGTGAAAAAACTTGAACCGAAGGTTGTATTATGAGAATATGACGCAGAATAGAGATTATTTCGTCTACAACGCCTAAAAATACAAGCACCGTCTTTGTGAAGGAACATTTTCACATAATTTAACTATAAAATTTTATGAACTACGTTTTTTCTTTTTGTAAAAGATCAATAGGATTATCTGAGAAATTTATGACTGTATTCATTAAATTCGGCGCTAATTAAAAAGTTGCAATCATTAAAAGAAATTTCCTGGTCAGTAAGAACGAAAACGCCTCCTAACATTCCGTTATCATCAAAATTTTACCCGGAGTCTACAATTTTTAGGAGTGTTTAAGACAGGGAATTTATGGGTCCGTTGGCAAACGTCCATTCCAGGAAACATTAACAAAAAAGGTATTGTTCATTTGTATCTATGTAACTACTGTAAATCTAAATTGTTCCTTGGTCGGGTCCGGTTGGTAGATAAAGCAAATGAAGAGAAATTCTATATCATTGTTTAATCAAGTGTAAATTTCCAGTGTTTTATATGAACGGTACCAATACACGTAGATTGCCTATTTAAAATATTTCGTTATTATGTACATTATTCACAAAATAGTAAATTTCTTTTCAGTTTATTTGGAAATTTTATTTCGGTTCAATTAACAAAAAAACTTTCTTGGAAAGAGGTCTGAGATTATTAACGATAACAGATATCTGTAATAGTGAAAATTAAGGGTGTTTTGAATGTTTATTTCATTGTCAAGCAGGGTTAGCAATGCGAGAGGGTTGGCAAAAAGGGTTAGATTTTGAGAGGTTAACCAAGCTAATCCGAAAAGGAGAAAGTTTGCAAAGGAGTGGTGCACGAACTTGCAATCGGTGAGCTTTTGAAATTAAATCAATATTAGCGGAATTAAAATTGCAGTTTAATTAAAAAAATAAAATAAATGCATAAATTATATTCATTAACAAATACCTACAGTCAAGCCAAGCAAACAAGTCCGTCAAGAGGGCAATGCTTTGGGGTCGCTGTATTTTAGAAGTACAGTCTGTGTCAATAGTATTTGGCGGGAAATTTAAACTTGTTCTATTTTGTCATTTTTTTAATGTAGCTACGTTTGGAAACTGGAGAAAGAAATTTAGTACAAGAATTACAACCCAAAATAACAAAACAGTTACCTAAGTACTACCATTGTATAATATGGTACTACTAATGACAAAGCAGTGTGTATTTAAAACTAATTAAACGGTATCGTCATCACTTTCCTCTTCACTGATTTCAGAACCTTCGCCTGATGTTGAGAATGGATTCTACTACCCGTAAAAACCACTCTTATTCCAATAAAAATACGCTTCTTGACTTGATCGTTGTATTTTATTTTTATTATTCTGACATTACATTTTATTTACTTGGCAACTCGCTTAGCAACAAAATTATGGCCATCTTAACAACAAATAATGAATAATGAGATCTTTTATGTGTTGCCACACCTGATGTGGCAGTGATTACCGTGAAAGATAAACTTTCTACAGCTTCTTGTAACAATCCATGGCGTTACCATATTGATTCTTCCAATCTCTTAATGTGGATTATGTCGTATCCAGACTTATACTTTTCGATTTGATGGTGAGCTGTGCATTTTCAATTCATTCCAATTTATTTTATCTTGCTTCAGTCAGTTTTATATACACCAGGTTCATCTTCTGTTAGCAAGCACTCCATAAAATGGATGGATGTAGGTTTAGTAAAAAAATGTGATCTTTACCTCCAATGCAGCCAATTTTCTTCTTCATTTTATTAACTAAATTGTAGAGACTTTGTTAGGGATCATGTAAATTCCATTCTTCAAGACGCCTAAATCAGAATTATCCAATGTTATTTTGTAAGAAGTTGCACATCGTTGCTTCTTTGATGGAAATTTCAATTTCCTATCATCGGCAAGTTTGACTTCGATCTACAGGATAACAATAAGTATTTCAGAGAGGAATATTAATGAAATGCACATTACCTAATCTTGGCTATGAATTTTATTGGTTTGTCGGCCGCAGCAGCAGCTAGCTCTGCACTCTTTCCCAAAGGAAATATCTACACATCGGCAGCTTTATCTTTGCCGAAGAATTCCACTACCCTTTTAATAACATTTCTGGCTTCGGAATGCACAATTTCAGAGGTTTGTTTCTCTTTTCTTGCCGTACGGATAAAATTGACGGCTCGCCAGTCAACTTCTCCTATCGCCAGTAAAAACTCACTTACCTGGCTAATAATGTAAAATACTAATAATCTATAAATGTGTCACTGTCACATCTTTTACGGACTGTACACGCCTGCGTTGTAGGTATTGGCTTAACGTTTTCCCGCCACGAATTTTTTAAATTAGTTCGCATATTTTCCGAGGGACTTGTTTGCTTGGTGGAGCTGTACAGTAGCGGCAGTCGACGCGGCGGAAACCTGACTTATCAGTGGAAGACGGCGAAATGGCGGCGCGAAATGGCTGAACGGATGGACGGACGGACTCGGGTGTCACCAAGCGAAAGGTCTCGCGCGTGATCGAGGTCGGCGGTAACAGCGGATCGGTCTCGGAAGCTTCGGGTTTAACTTCAAAACCTACAACGGTAGACAAGAATCGGACGGGCTTAGAAGATGGCGAAAAACCGAAAAACTACAACAAAAACTCCCTAGCGGGGATGAAAGCAACAAAAACAAATGGGTCGAAGCGGCGGAAAAGTACACAATTTTCCTCCCTTATAATTAGCGAAACGGAAAGTAACAAAAAGTTCACCTTAAGTTAACGGAGCGGTAGCAAAAGTTCGCTAAAAGCCGTTTCCAATAAATACGGTGCGAGAACTTAATGCAAAAGCAAGATTAAACAGGTACTGGTGCAAAATGATAAAAATTAATACGGTACTTACAAATATAATGCAAAAGCGAAAAATATTTACTTACTATTCGGTTAAACGCCAAAAGCAAAAGATCCAAATTCAGTGCGTTTCTATTTATCTCCATTTCGAGTAGGGAGTAATATTGGAATTCCCACGCTTATACATTTGATACGTTCAACCAAATTACACCGTTTTTAATTAATTAGTTCTTTCTTAGGGGACTATATATGTCAGACTTGAAGTTTTTTAAGACCGCTTTTTTTTGAGATAAGACCCAGCTTAATTAGACGGGTTCTACTGTAACTCATTTTAATGTCAATCCTTAATTATACTTATCCAATTAGTCTAAATGAAATCTCCAAATTCGGTATCCTAACTACCACCCATTGTCAAATGAAATTCGCAGGTCAAACGGCGTGATCGATATCACCTGGTATTCCCGACCTTGCCGTTCGAATCCTCGCGTTAAATTTGCCATAGTAAACAAAACCTGCTAATAATGGCTTATCGTGTCTGAAGTTCTAAAATATTAATTTGTCTTCTTCTCTGGCTTCCGTACGCCGCTTTCCCCTGACCTTTACCCCCATTTAAGATTCCTTAGCAGTGGCCAGCCTTGCTTTTAAAATTCTCCAAAAATGTATGAGTGAAGTCGGTCTAATTCAATGGTTTGTAAGAGTCTGTAAAAGACTTCAAAGGCCTTCTGAAGATTTTTAATCTTAGTCTTTAAACACCCATAATACGTTTCAGGTTTGCTGCCTTCAACATAGTACTTAATTGGGTTTAATGATGTTTAAGAGCATCCATGAGTCACCTAGAGTTTTCAATGTTTTCCATGGACTTTTTTTAGTGACCCTTAGAACCGAACAGACCCTTAATGGCGCTTAAGGGTCCTTAAGCAACTTTAAGGGCTCTTAATAATTAATTAAGGGTCCTTGAGTCGTCTGCAATTTTTAACCATGTGCCCTCAAAAGAGTCTCCAAGTGACAAAAACATTTATTAACCTTTATTTTATAGCAGATGTTAAATTGACATTTTGATAGGTTTGAATGAGTACTTTTATGGCTCTCTTTAACAGTAAGCGCAGATTTTATCGTTAAAGGTAGATAAAGAGAATCAAAAGATTGTCCATTCTAATGACATCTGTCACTCTTATTAAAAATGGGACGCGGAGCACGAAGTAAAATGTTCAGAACTAAAAATAATTGTTTCCATGATAACGACGGGTCTTCTATTCCACCCATATATTTTACATACTACTTACACCCTACATTTTTTTAATTCAAACACGCTGAAAATACATCACCCTAGAAATACCCCTTCAGATTCTCGACTACATTATCTACACATGATTTTATTATACTTACTACTGTAATTAAATGTGAGGGGGTCATTTGAGGTAGATCCCTGAGGGACCATCAGGAATTTTTTATGCAATACTAGAAATCCTCATGCTTCTTCCAATCGACACAAAAACATTTAAACTGGCGCAACTAACAACTTTTAAAGCGTTCCATTCTTGTAATGCTAGAGAGAAATGGGTATATTAAAAAAAATTCTCCGGAAAGCTCTATCTTTCCCGGCATTCTTATTCAGCCATAAATTAACTTTTAGGAAACGAATGGAAAAGACACAAACGGCTTATAGCACCATCTTTAAGCAGTAAGTATATGGAATCCTACGTAACAGTCGCACGCAGATGTTGCCGCATGTTAGTTGAGAAAGTTGGAGAGGTTGCCAATGGGGAACTAATCGACATCGATTACTACGTGTATCGATTTTACCAGGATGTTGTACATGGTAAGTTCGCAATAAGCAGACAAAGTTCACTTAAATTTTTGTTTAGAGACACTCACTGGTCATAATCCAGGCGCTCAACATGGAACAATGGATGCTATGATTTCCTTGTGTCACGAGTAAGTATATGGCATAACCGATTCATTTTTGTGATTAACACCATGCTTACAGGGCGTATGTTTTGTTACATTCTCGCATGACGAAGGCATGGTTACATCCAGATTTCATTTTCCGAAAAAGTGCTAATGGAAAGCGGCAAAGTTATATTACGAAAAGTCTTAGGACGCTTCTGTGTGAGGTAAGTTGCATATAGTTCAGAATTTGATGAAGAAAATGGGTGCTAGAATGTAAATCAAATTATTGATGCCAAAATTACAAACTTCAAAATAGAGTGAGTTGCCTAAATACTTTATGAGGGGTAGAAACAGGGTCAGTATCTGTTTTCCGTTACTTACCATAAACATGGATTATGCCCGAAATCACACCCTTTGCACTCAAAGCTACCAAAGGGGTAGGTAACACTCACCCGAAAGCTCTCTCGTGTCGTAAGCGTCGTAAATAAGTACTCTATCGACAGTATCCGCGACTTTTTCGTAACCTACCGACCGCAGCCGGGTACGACACCATCGTCACTTGATGCGACACCGTTGTCTTTTCTGCTTGAAAGAATCTCGTAACTTTATACCCATATACGAAACTAATGAAACCATAAACATTTACCATGTTATAATGTTTAGTCGCGGAAATTTTGTGGAATTTCTTTAAGAAAAGCGCAAAATGAGTAATAGATAACCCCTGAACTTGGTTTCCTTCACAATAAAGCTTCTGGAACCTCTTTTGTTTACTTGATTAGAATGAACACCAAATTCAGGAGGCGTTTTTGATAATAACACACTGTTTGTCCAACGTCAAGCAACTTATGTTATCGAAATGAGTAGGTCATATCCTTTGGCTGCCTCCATCCCTCCTCTGTCCCTGCAAATGGCATTTTATGCAACTCATTTTGTCAACAATTATTTTGAAAAACGAAAAGAAGAGGTACAACTTTTATTTTATTTCCACTAGTAATTAGTTTAAAAACAGTAAAAGCTTTTTTTAGTTTTTTGCTGATGATGACAGTTTTGCTGTAGAAACGCGTAGCTTTTATTAAACTAAATATGTTATTTAGCACATTAAACTGGCACCTATTAATAATAATGATAATGAAGAGTTCAAGAGTGTCTACCTGCGAATGTTGGAAGAAATAGAGAAACATCCCGAAATGTATGGAAATCAAAATTTAATGGACCACATTGTAACGTTATTTTCTGCTGTACGCATACTTATCTAAGGAAAGGGACTCAAGTTAGTGTTTCAGGCTGAAGATCCCACGTCAACGATTAGCTGCTATCTAATGATCATGCTCGGGATGTATCCAGAGATTCAGGTAGCACTTCGATTCGTTTAGGAAGATTCAGTAATTCAAGTTTTAGGACAGAGTCTTTAAGGAAATAAGAGAGGTTTTTGGTAATGGCGACGTTATTGAACGTATTACTTTCAAGGATTTATCACGCATGCACTATTTGGGTATGTGTATCAAGGAGGTGTTGCGAATATTTCCAATTGCACCTTTCATAGCAAGGAAATTAGTTGAGGATTTAGATATCGGTAAGGAGCTACCTACTATTTGCCGATAGTTAACATGTTTATTTGTAGAAGACAACGTCACCTTGCCACCGGGTTCCACAATTCTTTTATGTTTGTATCACGTACAAAGAAGCACTGAGTATTGGAAAATGCCTGACGAATTTTATCCCGAGCACTTTTTACCAGAATCCGTTGCTAATCGACATCCATACGCGTTTTTGCCATTCAGTGCTGGTGCGCACTCCTGCCCAGGTTTCTGTTAATGTTTGTTGGTGTAACAACTAAATGCTGCGGTTTTAGGTCAGCTATTCGCCATATCTACAATTAAGGCAGTGGTGATATCAATTCTGCCACGATTTGTTTTGGAGGCAGATGGCACATGGAAGGATATAAAAATTAAAGCCGACATTAGTATTAGACCTGTTGATGGTTACAAGTTACGGATTAGAAGAAGGATTGCTCACTCCTCTTGAAGCTTATGTGCAAAAATGTACTTTGTGTAAAATATGAGCTGAAAGAGGGAGTTCAAAAGGGAAATCACTATGATTAATATTAGAATAAGTTAAAGCTACGACGTTTTTATTTTTTACTTTCTTTATTTTTCGTACAAGTTTAGTAAGTTGAAAATTAGAAATTGGGATTGTCAAACAATTCTGTTTTACTACATTTGTCAAGTTTTCTTTCGTGTTCTTCTTGTTTGGCGATTTCAGTGCAATAAAAGGAAACTGAGGTAAGTGATGATCCAGCTTCTATATAATTCTGGGTTGTAACGTGGAAGTTCATCTTCGGCCACTATAAGAGTTACAAAGGCGAGTGGGGTGTTTTTGAGTAGGTTTTTACATATGCCCTTTTCAATTTTATAAAAGCATTTTTTTAATTTTTTCTCTAAGCCAAGAGATTAGGTATTCTTTGCTCTAAAGTTGCGCAATGCGCTTCCGGTTGTAGGACAATTCGCACCCGAATAATTCGCACCCGGACATTTCGCTCCCGGACATTTCGCACCAGGGCAATTCGCACCCGGACAATTCGCACCCGGACATTTCGCACCAAGGAAAACTCGCACCAAAGATATTTCGCACCCGGACGTTTCGCTCCCGGACAATTCGCACCCGGATAATTCGCAGCGGAATAATTCGCACCAGAATTTCGCTCCCCTGAGAGGGTATTTTGTGTATGGTTGACTTTTAACATAGAAAGTCGGCTGTGAAGTATTAAATTAACTCAGAGCTTGAAATCTCCAATATTACTCACCAATATCACGTTTTATTACTTTGTGCATGTAATAGACGTATACCTACATTTAAAATTTGGATACTTTCAATATTAAGGTATAATTTGGAATCGTGACGTCCATTTTGTGTTCAAACTCTAAATGGGATAATTTATTAATATTGAATAAAAGTTCTCTAAACCGTTCCCATATAATTTAATAAAACGAAGTGATACACTACATGTTTCGACCAACGGTCATCTTCAGGTGATCTACAAGATGGTAGAGATCATTGAGGAGAGACTATATAGCTATAAAACTTACAATAGATGGAAAACAATTAAAAACCCAAAAGGGCAGTAAAACTGGAAAGGCCAACGACCATATCCGTGGTTGGTTCCAGAGTAAAATTGAAAGTTGAAGAGGTTGATAAACTAAATTTTTTGCAAGGGAGGGCCGAACCTAAAAACTAACATTAGACGACGGTATAAGCAACGATGAAACTTACGTATAAAAAAGTCAAAAGGTCAAAAGACGATATCCTAACTAATAAAATACCCAATTAAGGGCTTTGAAACTGGAAACCATCTGCACTTCCAAAATCAGTGCTTGGTTTAGCTAATCTTACCTTGTCATCGTTGACCCAGATCCTGGTATTGCATGTTAAACTAAGAGCCGGTGGATCCTTCTTTGCTCTTCTCGCTCGACACAGCCATGATGAGCAGTTTTGGAGTTTAAAGTTCTTTGCAAAGAGGTACATGTATCCTTCATAGATTATGTATCTCTTTCCCCTTTTCGTTGTACCGAACTCCATTGTTACGCGGCCCGTATTGCACCGCCTAAATCTCATATCCATTATCAACTTTTTGTAACAAATCAAATTTCAACATTTAGCCTCAGGGACAAGTCCATTTTTGATGATATTTTCCTTGATTTTGGCATTTTCATGTGGCACTTAAATATTTATGTTGGTTGTATTGTTTACAATAGCCATACAATTTGTAGAGGAATAATTTTTTAATAGTATTTATGAGGCAAGAATTCATACGTACAATCCTATGTACCTTTTTAAATGGAATAGACCATATCAAAGCAGTAGAGATATTAGGTCACTTTAATAGCATCCATATCACTCAAAATCTGGAATTTAGTACTTATTTTATTGTAATCTCCGTATTAAACATGAGAACACTTGCTAAAGGTACCATGAATGAAAATTTATTTACAAAAAAAACCAAAAAAAGGTAAAAAGACACTCATCCGTGATGTAAATTGTCGATGCACTCATGTTCACAAGTAGACGGATGCTGCTAAACGCTGGTATCGGTCTATCAGCAAAACTGTCACCTGACATTTCTTAAACCTATTTACCCAGTTTTATTGTACCAATTCACAATCAAGGTTTTTTTCATTTGGAAACCTTTTAGCACGTACAAATAATATTGCAATAGGAATATAAAAGTCTAAATAAAATTTTAACAATTATTATTTGTTAATAGCTGCAAGTTTTCCTAGTTCTCTAACCTTCGATGTCGTCCATTTAAAGGACACAACGAAATACGTATGTATTGTCTTAAAAGAATCTCAAGTAAATTATAATCATATTTGAACGTAAAACAAATAGATTCTTGAGAGTTTCCGTAAAATTAAAGAGATAAGAACTGTAAAGTAACGAAAAAAGCAAAAAATGTTGATTATCGTGAAAAAAATTGATCTTGCTATAAATTATATGGCTATTATTTAAATAATATACTGAAATTTTGAAAATCCATGACTCTCAATGGGGTGCTTAAGAAGCTTCGGAGAAATAACACCAAAATCTACCCATTTATTATTATAACAATTTTGTGGTGCATTAGAAAGCATACATAGCTATTTCTGTAAATTAAATTAATTTTCAAAAAACGCTTTGGCACGTCAAATTGATCATGGAAGGAAACAGTGTCTAAAATAAAACTTGCTCACTAATGTCTTTGTCTCGCATCGCTGACAGTGCAACCCTTAAAATCTTAAATGATGCATCGTTGGTAAGGTCGCTCATCTCTGAATTCGGATATGTAATTTTTTTGGTTTAGTTGTTTCATTTCCAGCGCATTCGACGTTGCAGGTACAAGTTTTCTCTTTTTTATACCACTTGCAACTGCATAATTTTGACGCACGATCGCATTAGCTTCTATATTACATAGTGATCGGCCCGACATCCTTCCAATGACATAAACAACAGCGCGCCCTCAACTTACTTTTAAAATATTTAGAAAATATCGAATCTAAAAAATTATAGTCTCACCAAATTCAGAGAAGGAAAGCCTTTCCAATGATGTCCTATCTTCCTTGTTGCGCAATTACCAATGCTAAGGGTTTTGCTTTAGTACTAGGTATGCCATAAAAAAATTAAAAAGGAAGTATATAGGTACTTAATAATTACAAACATTCAAAAGAAAAAATCAACAATATCGACCTGTTCCTAAAACGTTTCAAGATTTTCAAAACCCTTACTGTTTTGATTATTAACAATCTCTTAAAAAAATGCCAGAATTTTTCCATGTATCTCTTCAAACTATAAAATAAATAACAGTAAGAAAATCAAAAAAAAACTTTTAAGTTCATTCACTACCATAGTTGTAGCAAAGATAACGCAAAAAATAAGCAGTTAGTGTAATTTTACTCAGTCACTAATAATCAACATATAGCCATATGTGGTTAAAGAAACGTAAAACTGGTTCTAAGAAAATTGGAAACTTACCTTTTCTGAACACCACCACAACACTACCACCAGAAATAAAATTTTTTAAAATTAAAAAAAAGTATACACAAAATCAAAACCCGTGCTCAGATAAATTTTAAAATACCACTCTGTCAAACGTTCAAGAATGAAGATACTATACAGGCGTTAAAGTTCTAATTAGTTGTGGTCATATGTACTTAAACCTGATTTTTCGGGCCTAATTACTTTTACCTTGTAATAAACCCTATTCATCTTCCAGAAATAATAGAAAAGATGTCATTACGATATTTCTCTTATTGTTTCTTTATGAAGTGCAATTTGTGTTATCGGGGTCTTTTCAAATTTACCTTTAATTATAATATTATCTTAATTACTTATCCAAAATTAGTGCCATCTATGAAATGCATTTTTCTATTGTCATTTATACATACTCGTTTTGTCTAAAATAAATTTAAGTCATTTCCTTTGTCACCCTTTTCAACTAAAGAAATAAAGAACAATTTTTTATGTGTCTTCATTAAGAAATCTTTATGTAAGGGAGCGTTAAAATTACTTCCTTTTTCTATTTTCATCTTGATCTTATAATGTAAATATTTTTAACTTTAGACTTATCACTTTGTTTGTGTACGGTATTATATGTTGATTCTGTTTTAATATTAAGAGCGTCTCAAAAGTAGCGAATATTACACATAATATTGTAGATATACTATAACTAGGTATAACTATTTGGTATTTAATTACTCCACAAAAGACGTTTCAGTTACCTATTCTTATTTTCTCAAAACGAAAGCGCAGTAGATAAAAATTGTGTGTTTTCTTAAATTACAGGATTTAACTATATCAGACTCTTCATACAACTTAAAAAAAAAACCAGCGTGATTATATTTAAGAAATGAAAATACTTAAAGAATCGCGATGTGTTGAAAATGAAAGACCAAATAACTTTTATTTGAAACATTTTTCCATGAAGTAGATGTTTACCAAGATGTGCACTACTACATACATTCTGTAAAGGCAATCGTCTATACTTCGTTCACCCAACAGAAATAGTTAAGCCACTCCTACAAAATTTGGGCCAATGTAAGCAGCAACCAGTTTTACAACCACAAAATTATAAAAAGCGGAAAATTTGAAAAATCAAATTGAAATGTCACTTGCTCAAGACTAATTATGGCGCTATCTCTCTGAACATAACTCGTGGCAAAAATAGTAAAACCTGCAAACTGTTAAATACATGTAAATATGCAACATAAAAACACTGTTTATATTGAGAAAAGTACAAAAAAGTATTATTACAGCAGCACAAAGTTTTGAAATTACAAGTGCACTTGAATATAAACAAAGGTACATAACAATTTAAATCCTGTATCGCTTCACTCGGATTCGGACTCCGTTGATGTCGAGTCATCTCCCACATGAATTACTAATGGCTCCACTACGATGTCCATTAAAATGTCAATTTGCCACATTTTTTCCTCTTCACTTTGAGCATGGCGAATTGCGTTCTTCCAATTTTCAGCAGTAACATGTTCCACTGCTTGTTGAAATAGTGGATGAAGGTCTTTCATTTTAAATGTGGTGTTGTTTCTGGCCACTTCACCTTTTATTTGCGCCCATATCAGTTCAATTGGATTCAATTCGCAGTGATATGGAGGCAATCGCAGCACGGTACGATTGTGTTCCTTTGCAATTTCATCAACTACATATT